AAAGGACACTCAGCTTGCATGAGTTTATTATATATGTAATATAAATATGAGGCAAAGTTCTTCACAATATTTTTTGGGAGGGCTGATGTATGTAATTTACATGCTTTCTCATAACTAAATGAAATACCTCCTGTGGAGCGGTGTCAGAACACCTGGGTGCCTGTGCTGAAGGCCCTACCCCAGATCGAAAATTTGAGCTGTTGTTAATTATGCAGACATAATTAATATTAGTGTGCAAAAAAGTGATAGGAATTTAGAACATTTAGCAAATTTAAAAAATATGACGAAGCAAGTACTTAATGAATGAAAGTTGAGAGCATCCGGGAAAAAACATTCAAGCTGGTGACTTGAAATGTAGATTAAAAATAAAGTAAGTTAAAACATGGTAATGTGCAAAACATATGGTGACAATAATTAATTATGAACAAAATTACAAAATGGGTAAGTGAAGTTAAAAACTGCAAGAGAGAGCATAAAGCATAACTACCAAGACCGAGCGTATATAAATATTCCACAAGTAGGGCTACAGAATAGGTGTTTTTTGTGATTATTAAACATAAATATGTAAGTAGAATATTATTAATTGGCGTTATTCATGAGGATTTCCTCAAATAGGTTGAATAAGATAAACATTTTATCAATGGAATTGTTAGCGGCCTGAATTTCAGGCATTGCAGCTGAAATTTTTTGAAGAATATTAGCTATGGAGAAACCTTTGAACATGTAAATTTCTTTCACTAACTTAAATAGATCTGAGAGAACATTAATGCCAACCTCTTTAGTTTTATCTTGTTTTCTGCCTGATTTCTTAACCTGAGTCGTTGCATTTTGAGCAGTACAGTCAAAAGTCGTTAATCCGCGACTCGTCGGGACTTCGGCGATTCTGGATTATCGATTTTTCCTGATTATAAATCATCAGTTTAAATCTCATAAGATGGCATGCAGAAATTATAAAATTAAAAGTATGAAACCGTAATTTATGAAATACAGAACAATTATGATATGAAGGGTAACAAAATTTACAAAAAAAAAGCTTAATATTTATTTGTTTACTTTATTAAACATTTCTATCAATGTAAGTTGTTTAAGTTGTTCCGTTTTATGTTATAATACTTTTTCTTTTATTCTATAAACAGACATAATTTCTTGTTCAGTTACAAAGTTCCGCTGTTAAAGTCCTATAATTGCGGTGTCGAGAATATCGACTAATTTGTCAATCGAAATTGTTTCGTTTTCGATAACGTCTGTGTCACTTTCTTCACTATCGGAAGCGATATTTTCTGGATCTAGAACCATACTACATATTTCGCTGTCCGTTAATTGATTGATGATTGGGGCATTGTCGTCGCAATGAAAAACTTCTCTTATATCATCCTTCTTTATTACCGCTTTTTCCACATTTCTTTATAAAATCCAATAACTGAAAAATTTCGCCTTTAGTTTGCGATGTCAGAAAACCTTCAAATTCGCCGCTATCATCTTCATCCTCCTCACCATGAAATATGGTAGATGGCCATAAATTATGCCAAGCATTTTTTAACGTACTTGGAGACACATCCTCCCACGATCTTGCGATGCTCCACATGGCAGATTTTATGCTAAAAAATTTCAGAAATTCTTGAATAGTCTTGCCATGTTCAGAAATTTAACATAGATTTTAAAATGCTGCTTTATATTTGCATTTCAGTGTGCGCACTATTCCATATCCATAGGCTGAATGATACAGATGTACAATTTGGAGGGAAGAATAACATGGTTACATTATCTTTCACTAAAACTTTAAGTGAAATATGCGGCCGAACAGTTGTCTACAATCAGGACAACAATTATTTTGAGTTATTAGATAAACCAACCGAATTCAAATGTTGCTGAGCCTTCAGGTTATAAAATGATTTTCAAACCAATCATTTCATTAATGCTTGTGTCATCCATGCTCTTTTATTGCGCGATATATAACAGAGGAAAATCGTGTAACTCCTTTAAACAGCTCGAGGTTGTGCATGTTTTCCAATTACGAAAAGTTTGCACTTGTGCGTTCTGCAGCATTTGCGCACGCTAAAATTGTTAGTCTCGCTTTGGAATCTTGACACCGTTGGAGCCTTTTCTGTAGAGGTTGCCAAGGTATTTCGCGGTACATATTGCCAGAAAAGACCAGTTTCATCAGCATTGTAAATTTGTTCTGCAGATAATTGTTCATTAGTAATGAATTCGATGAATTCATCTGCAAATTGTTCAGCAGCTTCAGCATCAGAAGATTTTTCACCAGAAATTTTTAATTGTCTTATACCATGGTGATTTTTAAATTTTGTTAACCAACCTGTCGAATATGTGCACTCTCCGTTTAAGTTCAGCCATTACCATTGGACCCGTCAATGGCACGCCCTCGCTGCGACGCTGTCTGACCCATTCAATCATCACTCTGTCATGATCGTCACTTTTAGCATAACGAACCCTTTTTCTGTTACTCATTGCAAGTGGGGTGTCGGAATCCACAAAAAAATCAAAATGTTCCTTTTTCTTTTTGCTTATCTCATATACAGTTGACTTTCCAATGTTATATTCCTTGCATAACTTTGAGACAGGTATGCCTTTATCCAATTTTTGCAGCAATTCCACTTTTTGTTTGATGGACATGGAAACATACTTTCATTTTGTAGATAGATCCTTTGGAAATTCCAGCATCGGAAATTCTATTTAACATAATCGAAAGTTCAAGTTTACTTTTATAAAATTGCTCTAAGCGGGATCCAATTCGAAGATTAAGGATCAACGCAATCATTAACATTAACTGAAATAGATAATTAGATCATTTTAGCTTACACCGTCCGTTATACATTAAACACGAAGGCGAAAACGTATTCTGCACCTGGGCGCACGCATATGCGCAGTCGTCAAGGTCTTACACGCACGCGTAAACGCCTGTGCGCATGTGCCAATGCGGCGCATGCGCAGAAAGTTTTTTAGCTTTGAGGTCCGGATTATGGGTGTCCGAATTAACGATTTTTGACTGTATTAATGTTTGGGTAATGTTTGCATAAGAAATTCCAAGAGTAACCTGGGTGGATTTCATTTTACTAACTTCTTTACTGTTATTACTATTGAAAAATTTTAGGGAACTTTGGGCACCCTCTGTAATTTGCTGTGTGTCCTGTTTCCAGGCAATTGCAGCACTTTACAACATCTAGTTTCTTGGCTGAACAGTCTGAGGTTTCATGTTGGCCTGCACATTTTATGCAGCGTGGATTGAGTTTGCAAGAATCAGAATGGTGGTGGAAGTGTTGGCAGTTGTGACGCTGCACAACACCCCAACTCACCTTGTATTCGATAATTTTGACGTAAAACAACATGAAGTAAGTAATATCATAGACCTCCTCAACACCTTTAACATTTTCAAGCTGAATTTGGAAGAGAGGCACTGGTGCACGTGACCTATAAGTCTGTGCATATGTGTAATTTTTTTTACCTTAAGTTCAGAAGTTTGTCATGGATTTCATCAGGAGAACAATCAATTGGTAGGCCTCTAAAAACTACCTTGATGGGCTTGCCGTCTTCTTTTGAGTAAGGTAGTGCTCAATATTTTTAGCCTCAAGATAATTAGTGATTCCTCTGTGGTCATCACTAGTTTTAGAAAAAATTTTAAGAGAGTCATTAGTGGCTTTTCCTGCAAAAATTTAATTTAGTGGCTTCAAGTAAGTGTTTAAGTAAGTCAGAATATTTACAGACAGGTGTAACGATGATAGCTTCATGCAATTGTTTAAGAAAGTCAGAATATTTACAGACAGGCTTAACCATAATATGTTTAATCTTAGGTTCTACAACTAGAACAGTTTATGTGTCCATATTTGTCTCAGTGTTATCATCTACTTCATTAGGCAGATTTTCAAACTTATTATTGACCGAAATTTCAATATTTGATTTCACTAACTTGGGAGGTTGAGCCATATTTTTCGGAAACCTAAAGTCATCTGCTTCAATGAACATTTATGGGATATTTTAGGAGGCTGTTTAGGCCTTTCATTTACATTATCAACATCAGGTTTATTACCATTAGGGTTACTAATATTTGAATTGCATACATTATCAGTTAGGGTTTCATACGAAATATTAGTCTTAACGACAGTTTTATCAGATTCAATAACATTAGAACTACTAGTACTAATTTGCTTAGCAAGCTGTTTGTTGGGACTAAACAGATGAGGGTTATTAAACATCATATTGAGAGCCATTTTTTGCATGGGATTAGATTCCATTTGAACAATTTCATTATAACACAAGTTTTTAAAACCAGGATATAAGTCACCATAAGTAGCACACTTACCTTGAAATAACTGAAGTAAGCCCTCGACGACTCCACGTTTGCTCTGAAATTTTTTGTTTGATTTTATCCGATGCTGCATTTTTGATCTTTGCAGTCCATTCATCACCCATTAGCTTGATATGTGGTTGAATTAACTCCACATTTTTCATTGCAGATTTAAAGTCATCAAAATTAAGTTTATCCTTAACTAACACCTTATGCCAGTCCTTATCCAATATGTGATCTGCACTTTTCACAATTCATCGGGTAGCTCCGCCACGAGGTGACGGGCTGTTGCTTCCAAATCCATAACGGATGTCGAAGGAGAATTTTTCCTTTGCATGGTGGATTTTTTAGAAATAGTCCACAGTCACTGCTAATAAGCTCATTACATAAAAGGGAAATACCTTCGTAGTCGAAAAACACATACGTTGATGAAATGGCCATATCTGAAGGCTTTTATGCAATTAAAACTGGAATTTGTATTTATTTGAGTATTAGGTCTACTATTTGTTTTACAGTAGATGTGCATTTCGATAAAAATGAATAATCATGTATTAAATTGTTAATCTGGTGTAATACTTGATATCAGTATAAGACAAAAAAAAGTTTTTGCTAATGACAAATTTGTCAACATAAATAAATTTATCATTATGGCTAATTAAAAATTATTGTATTTTGTAATTCATGTGTTTTTTATTAGGTTTTCAGGCCCAAATACAGCTGCTGAATGGTCAGCTGAAGGCAGGCAACTTGTACCATTAATGTCTCGTTGTCCACCACAAACAATCTTTACTGCTATTGCTGATGCTGCTGCAAGAACCCAAGCAGCTAAAAATGCTACTCTGCCATTACCTGGAAAGACTGGTATTAGACAAAGTAATATTCCAGTATTTAAATCTATGCTTCTTTTTTCTCTTATATATATGTGTTTAAAACACCCTTGACTATGCCTTTTGCTTGGAATAAGCAAAATTAAATATGAGAAATATTTAATTTCTCTTATTGCAAACGTGCTGCAAATGCTTTATTTAGAGTGCACAAACAGAAATTAGAAATTTTTACTTATTTGCATTGTGAGTAGTTTGTTAAACATTTGAAATGTGTTTTAATTTATTTTAAACTTTAATTAAATTTCAGCTTGAAATGTAGACTTAGATTTTTTTTTTTTTTAAATATGTCTTATGCATGTGGAATGGAGTGCTATTAGAAAGAAAGAATGTATTATGTATTGTATTCAACAAGTAATATTCGAATAGAGCACTCCACTGCAAATTCTTTGCAAGGCGCAGCCACACGGTTACAAATGATCTTAAAGAACTCTAAAGTAGTATAAAAATTTGGTGTTTCTAAGGTTTTAATTTTGCAAATATCTTCTTCAGAGTGGTGGTAACTGTTTTTATCTAATAAAAAGTATAATAGATAAAAACAGTTACAATCATTCTGAAAGCTATTTGTAAAACCTAAAGCCTTAATGTACAACTAAGGCTTTAATTTTACTAATATTATGCTTATGAAACTAAAATATCATTATTTATAAAGTCAAGTGGCAAGTCCTATTCATTATTTTATATTCATCAACAGGTATGTAATTGGTTGACTACTCATCTTTCTTTAATTCCAGTAATTCCCAAATATTCAGCATTTTGAAAGCCATGGGCAATTGTTGTTATAGTGCTGACATGTTCCCATAATACAAAAGTCATAGATCTCTCCTGAGTTTCATTTAATCTGTTATCTGAAACATCTTTTTTTCCCCCCTCTCGACTTCTGCAAGAACTTAACTTCTTGAACGTTCAGATGATACTCATAGTGCTGGTCATTAAAATTGCTGCACCATAAAGAAAAACAGGGAACAAAATTAGTAATTATGGAAATTTAATGTAAAGATGAAAATGATCAAAATGTCAGATAATTTTGTGATATAGGAAAAAGAAATCAGTGCTATCTATAGAGGCTCCCTCTATAAATAGTAGAACTTGCCACAGGACTAGGCAGAAAACCAAACAGTATTAACAGGAATTGCAGTTTTTGCAGCTCTTCAGTGCTGTTCTGTAGTTAATTTGTTTTACTGGCTGACAGGAACTGTTCTACCGTCCCCTTTTTAAGAACTGGAACTTAATTTCTTAGAGATCTGAAGAATATATCAACCAAGGCAAAAGTAGAACACTCTCTATATTGAAGAAATAGGACGAAGAAGGCTAAAGCAATGGTAACCTTGTTGATAATCTGCCATTGCACCGAATATGTGAATGCTTGGATCTGTGGGACACTTCAAGTGTCCTGATTGGAATACGTGACGTGACGTGCCTGTTTAATCCCTAATGTTTATGCAGATAATATATCTGCCATCTTGGGCATTGAAAAGCAAGGGCTGTTGAAATCCCATACATTTTTTGATATCTTTCTGGATTCATAGATTGCAAATTCTAGTAACAGCTATTTGACCTTGATCAATGTGAGCAAAAGTTACTTTATGAATGCCCTCTTTCATCATATTATAAAAAGCAATTATCTGTTCTTTTTTGTTATTACGAGTAGTTTCATCAGTTGCATCAGAAAAATACATGGTCGTGAGTAGTTGGACAGTTTTTTTTTTTTTTTTCCTTTTTTCCCTTGGAGCAGTAAGAAACTAGCATGGCATCTGATTGGAAGCCAAATATTAAAGTCTTTTTCTTCTCTCTGTTTCTTAGGTAAAAACTCTTTTGGAACTTCCCGTTTGTTTGAATGAATCTTTCCAACAGCTCTTTTTTTTTCCTTTCAATTAAGAGTTTCGTTGCAAGATCTGAACTAGTGTACCAATTATCTGCTATAATGTTGCTTTTCGTTCCTTTCACAGGATCAGTTAATTTGAGAACAATTTCTGATGGTCAGTTGTTGATACATAAAGGTCATCAGGCAGCTTTCCAACGTACGGCTCAATATTTATGGCGTAAAATGTTTTGCTGTCAACTAAACCAGATATTTTCAACCCACATTTTGAGAGCTTTTTACAATGTCTTATTTAAAGCAACATCTGCCTCTGAAAGATAGAACTTGTTCATCTGTTGTGAGATAGTCACTTAAAGAGTATTTTTCAAAATTATCTACCAACAATTCAAAAATTCTCCCTATTGCAGTTAGTTTGTCAGTAACTCTATAAGGTATTTCTTATGCTGCCTTAGCATGCCTTCCTGGTGTAGTGGTCTGCATGCTGTGTGCATATTCCAGAGGTCTGTGGCTTAATTCCCAGCAAAGGCATTGCTCATTCCCCCCCCCAAAAAAAATCCCAGTCGCCCTTTAAAAGGGGGGGTATATAAGGTATTTATTCTGCCTTCTTAGCATGCTTTTGTGTTGTAGTGGTCTACGTGCTGGGCGCATATTCCAGAGGTCCATGGTTCGATTCCCGGAGAAGCCATTGCTAAGTTTTCATGACTTCAGCTTCCAAAAATTACCTAATGTCTCTACAACTTTACTGACATCTCTACTGCAAATATCATCAAATCTGTGCATCTAACTAAATATCTAAATCTCTTTTAAAACACTGTAAGGTAAAAACATTCCAATCCTTGTTCTTTAGAATTATGCCTCAATTTATGAAGGTTTTTCTAGAACACCTGTGGCTTCCAATAAAATAAAGTAAACCAAAGAAAGCACTAAAGCTATATTATATCAGTAGGAGATGCATCATGTTCTCCCCAAAAAAGATGTTTGACAGAATCTATATAAAAGTTAATATATTGTCAGTTTTAAAATATTATCACTTATAAATAAATTAAGTGTTTCGATTTCATTCCTGACATTTCAGGCTTCTGCAATAGGATGTGGAAAATCATTTACAATACAGTACAAAGTCCGAAATCCTGACGTCCATTATCCGGAATGATCTAAAATCCAGACCTCAAAACCACCACCAATAAAATTTTTCTCGTAGGCTTTACACATGCGCATTTTATTTTCCCCTCCGCGCATAATAAAACATCTCGAGAGTCCCGATTCTTAATTTCACTTTCACACTAAATAAAATACCTTGTTACTGAAGAAACAATCAATTAAGCATAAATTTGTACGATCAGTTAATTTGGCTCATTGCTGTGTATTTGCTGTCACCATCTCCACCGAAACATTCCACATAGATACATCATGATGTGACGCCACCTGGCGAATCATTATTTATTACTTTTCTTTTCACCGCATGTTATCAAAACATGACACTTGAGTAATGATCATGTAGCGATACCTAAACAATTTTTTTTTATTTAGTATTGAAAATAAAGGTGTGGTAACTTTTTATGTCATTACGCTTGGCAATAATTACAGATTTTATTGTGCTAAAATTGTTGACGAGGAAAAATTTACCAAAAATTCTTTCCATATGCTAAAAAGATTGTTGATGATACTATAGACCCAAAGATTACATTTATTCTTTTTGAATTAAGAATAACTGATTTGTTATTCACATAAACCCAGAACCAGTGCCAGGCTCTGTATTTAGGACCCACAGAGATGAAATCAGGCGGTAAGATATCTAGCGCCGGCCCTCATTAAGGCTTAAGTATATGTGGGAATTTATCTGACAAGCCTTAAGCATGTGCAAGAAATAGACATAAGTATAATAATTTACTAAACTAATACAATTCAGACTTGATTGTCTCGGTGCATGATAGAAGCAAGATAAAATTTAACTGAGCAACTTGTCTTTAGTTGCCAAGCTCATGATGCAAGGGTAGCTAAATTTCATGATAACAGCCACTAATTTTAAAGGTTTTCAAATATCACAAAGCAAAGGTGAAATTTTCCAGTTAACGGACTTTGTAAAGGAATGTGGAGAAGTAGTAATACATGAAGATGATATAAAAGAAGTTTTGCATTGTGATAACAATGCTTCTCAATCATCAGTCAATTAATGAATGGAGAAATCTGTAGTATGGTTCTAGATCCAATACCACTACCGATAGTGGAGAAAGGGACAGAGAAGTTCTGAAAACAAGAAAATAGATGAAAAGTTAGTTGGAATTCTCGAAAACAGTAGTTACAGGCTTCAAACCAATGTAACTCAACAAGAGATGATCTCCGTATATAGAATTAAGAGAAAGTATTAGACAAAAAAATGAAGTCGTAACTTAAGACACTTAACATTGAAAGAATGCTTAATAAGGTAAACAAATAATAGAATCTTTTTTTTTTTTTTTTTTTTTGTAAAGTTTGTACCCTTAGACTCATAAATAATTCATCATTTCTTATTTTTATTTTTTATAATTTCTACATGCCATCTTACTAGATTTAAACTGATGATCTATTATTTGAAAAAATCCGGAATCGCCGAAGTCCCGACGAGTTCGGATTTCAGACTTTGTACTGTATTGCAAGATCGCATATGCACATTACAGTTACGGTTTTCTTACAGCATTTAGTTGTATTATCTTTACCTGTATAATATTTTTTAGAGGAGTTTTAATCAGTATCCTGTAAATTTTCCTCTTCATCTACTTCCTTCTTCTCATCTTTCACTGAGTCTGTATTATGGTCACTTTGATGGATATAATTTTCATCCATGAAAGTGATGGATATAATTTTCATCCATGTACGAAGCACTTCCTGATTCCTCCTAACTTTTCAACTACTTTCAGTAACTTTAACCATTGCTCTGGATCTTTGCTTGTTTCCATGTGCCTCTCTTTAGTATAATTCATCCCGTCCTCACTCTCCGACATTCTGTAAGACGGGGGGGGGAATGTAGAAATATTTTACATGAAAAAATTGTCATTCCATTAACGTTATTCCACAAAAAAACTAAAATCATAAAAAAAAGATGAAAGCATTTTATTGGTTAATCATTATTTCTATTAAATTAAATACTTTAAAAAATAAAACTCCATAAAGGCTGAAAAATCTTAAAG